TCCAAACCTCGATTCTTGTGAAAGATCACAGTCAACCCCCCCCCCCATCCTGTGATATATCACACGATCCGTCGTTTTCAAGACCTTGACAGCCACTACTGCTAAAGCAAGACTAAACTCAAGCCTAGCTCCGCTAGCTTTTGTGATCAGCAACCCAGTCTCCCGGCGGCCTCTTCTCGTCGCGTGCAAGCATGACCGCCCGCTTTGCATACTGTCAGGTAGGACAGAATCGATGAAAAGTGCTTCTCGGCATTATTGGGGAAATATCTACAGCTGGTATCCACGAAGAGTGATGTTTGAGCCTTTTTTTTGGAAGTTGTGGGTCCCGTCTTGGAGCGGCCCAAGGCAAATCACAGTTTCAAGGCTAAATTTGGGATCTTGATGACGGTATTGCCCTGTGAGATGACATCCTAGTCTCCAAGGGTGGAGTGTGCATGGTCAAAAGACTTTCCTTGGATCTTCGATTAAACATATTTTGAGGCAGCTAAGAATTACCACGGTGACACACTAGGTGCACTAGATGACAGTAAAGCTGTGACAAACACTCGTCCGTCCTTTGGTCCATGCAAACTTTACTCATAATTCACCCCACCTCCCAATTATAAGTGCCATCATTTAGTTGGGGGGAATTCTATTTTCTTGGGGGCGGGAGAGGGTTTGTTTGTTGGGGAGGGGATTAGCCAAGTAAGACCGCAGCCCCAGCTCGCTTCTTTAAGAGCCGCAGGCTCTGCTGTAGCCTGGGCATGGACCCACGAAGAGCCTAATAACTTTTGGAAAGCAAAATGGAACCTGATAAAAAGGCCCCATCCTTCTCACAGCAACCACTCGAATGTAATGGTTGTCTTTTGCGTGTCAAATCCTGCCAGGTTCCAAAGCAAAGCACTACTTAACGCAGCAGTGCTACTGCTTCAAAGGGCCCTGCTTGATTTTGCGAGTTTTGGTCGGCAGAACCCTGAACTGTTGACCCTGCATGGCTCAAATTCCGACAAACGTCAGAGGAAGAAGCTCAGTTATTCGGTCAGCTTCTGCGCATCCTCAGAAAACCCTTACGTATCCATCCTATTAGATACTCCCATTCGATACCCTATGAAATCCTACAGACCTATTCTCCATCAACGTTGGCCTTCTCCGCGCTCTCAGCGATGGAGGCAAATTCTGGAGACTTCGGATTTTGCGAGCCCGTCTCAATAAGGCCAAGCGTGGCCTCCGAGGGTTTGGCAGTTTCTCAAAACATAGGACCCTGGGTTGAAATACTACTAGGCCGCCATTGCAGCTGTTGACCCTTAAGCCCAAAGGCTCGCGCAAGAAGCTGTGAGAATCTGATCCTTTCGGAATCACAAAGCTGCATATGGGGGTTGGAGACGGAAGCAAATAAAGGCGCCCGCCACCTGAAAACCGTTTGCCATGTTGGGCGCAGATCTAGATTCCTTCATGGTTGAAACCGAACAGGTCCAAGAAGTGATTGAGAAACCTGGCTCTGAGAATCCTTCAAAACCATAGGCAGAGCCGAGAGCCTAGCTACGTATTAAGTGAGATTACATCTTCAACTTTAGCAAAAAACAAATGTCCTTTTGAGGTGACCTTGCGAAACTTTAGCCAACACATATCCTGCTATGCTGGTGGTCCATCCATATAAAATTTCCTACAAGGTCTTTTAGATCAACGCTCACGTGGCATCGTTGGCTCCTTAGCAGCTTTCCAAGGGCTGATTTCAAAGCAGGATACTGCGTGCTGTCCTACTATGTTTTCAGAAAGCAGCGAGCCCCAAACTTACGGTCTTCAGTCCCTGCATCGCCTGCATAGCAGTTGAATACATCTAGATCAGAAAAGGACTCTCGGCAGAGATCTTTCTGGCCTGAGCCGCACTGACGAGCAAGCCTTTGCTCAAAAGCAAGGGTGTTTTGCAGGCAGACATGGGAGCTTCAAGGGTCTTGAGTGAAGCCCCGCCAGTACGTTACTGACAAAGGCTCACATTACATGTCAAGTCTAGAGTCTAGACTGTACAGCACCATTGCAGCATGCCAGCTAGCAGCTATAGCAGCGCACTGTGAATGACTCTTCCACATGCCGCTGGACTGTTGACAGGGCAGGGCTTTGGGTGGTGATGGCTCACTGCGCGGCATCTGCAACTTTTTTTTTGCTACGCGCAGTCTGACTCCCTCTGCTCAGGCGCCTCTGGCGCCTTTTCGGGCTCTTGCGCGTCTTGCGCTTCCCCTTCAGGCAACTCTGCTGGCATTGCTTTGGGCACCTCCTGGGCAGGCGCCTCATTGGTCACTTCAGCGGCCTCTTTGGCGGAACTGTCGTCCGCTGCCTCAGCGGGCGCAGCCTCCGCTGGCGCCTCGTCCTCGACCTCTGCCGGCACCTCCTCGTCTTCGAGCTCTGCTGGCACCTCATCCTCGATCTCTGCTGGCACCTCATCTTCGCTAGGTGCCTCCCCTGCAGAAACCTCGGGGGCCATGTCTGCAGGCGGCATGTCTTCATCCGGCAATGCCTCTGCCGCTGCTTCCTGCTCAAGCTCCTGCTTCACCTCAGCGGCAAAGTTGTCATCCTCCTCCCGTGGCCGCTTCCGTGAAGGCATGACCTTGGCAGTCGCCTTCATGAGGATCACCGCATCTTCCCCGTCTGACAAGGGACCTTCAATCCCCAGGTCTGCTGGGGTCAGGACCATTTCACCTCCCTCTTCTATGGGCGCTTCGATGCCAAGGTCGGCATCAGTCAGCACCATGTCCTCTCCTTCCAAAGTCTCTGCTGCCGGAAGTTCCTTCATGGGATCGTAGTCTTCATCCTCCTCCAAGGGTGCCTCAATGCCAAGATCTGCATCTGTGAGCTCCATCTCCGCTCCCTCCCCAGCTTCAACGCTTTCAGCTCCCTTGGCCTCTTCTGCAGCATCGATGCCTCTAGTGGCATCCTCGGCCGAGGCTTCTCCTGTTTCACCTTCCCCTCCCTCTCCTCCCTCTGGAGCAGGGGTTGGGTCCGGGGCATTCTCATCAATGACCTCGGCCAGTTCCACCAGCAAGGGGTCCTTCTCTTCCCCCTCTGGCTCGGGCTCGATGCCCAAATCTGCGTCTGTCAGCTCCATCTCTGGCTCAGCTTCTTCTGCCTTGTCCTCCGCCGTGTCATCTGGAGCTTCAACTTCAGCAGCAAGCTGCTTGTCGTCCGCCTCCTGCTCTTCCTCCTCCTGCTGCAGAAGGGCCTCGCAAGCAATATGCAAGCATTGGGCCTCCAACTTATGGTCGATCTTTGAGAGGTCAACCCCCTGCAAGTGGCCCTTGCGAAAATCCTTGGGAACTCCTTCCACGCCGTTGTCAAAGATGGCGCCATGCTCTGTGAGGTCGTGGTGCTTGAGAAGCGGGTCCCTTGTCTGATGCAACCAGACCTTCGGGTCCCTCTCCCCGTAGTCGAAGAAGTGAAGCTTGACCTTACCTGGGCCCTCTGGTAGGGTGCAAGGTAAGAGATTGCCACAAATCCCGACGTAACCTGCCAAGACCTGGTGGTGCATCAGCACTGCGTGCAAGGCAGTCTCAGCCCCTTGGGCGAGACCTCCCACAATGAGCCGCTTGTGGCCAGCTTCCCCCAAAAGCACGGCTTCTCGCTCCAGTGTGAGCGACAGCCTGACACGAATGTCTTCCAAGCTCAGAGGGTCCGCCTCAAGCTCCTTGTTCCCATTGTAGTAATCGAACCAGCTGATGCAAGGCCGCTTGTTGTAAGCTGTGATCTGGGTGTTGGGCGCAAGTGGCAGCACCAGCCGTATGCCCTGCGCAGCGAAGACGCTCTTGGCCTGCAGGTAGCGGACGTTGCCCGCCCCAAAGGGGTGTAAGTACACCAGAGTCGCCTTGTGTTGGCCGTCTTTGGGCAGGATCAAGGACTGAGGTAACTGCAGGCGCGCACTTGCTGGAGCACGCGCAGGTGCAGGCTCGCCAGAGATCTTTGCAAGGACTGCTGCGAATGGCTCTGCAGCTTCCCATTTCTTGTCAGCCTCATCGTGCGCCTTGGTTGTAGCATCAGACTCCTTAATCTCATGGGTGAGCTTCTGGACGAGCTCTACAAGCTGGTAGCGCGGCGGGATAGCTGCACCACCTGAAGGACACGTGCAAGCTCAGATCTCTTGCAGACGCGTGGTGGCCCTGTTGTGAACCCACTCAAAGCTCTCTCCAAGAACAGCAAGCCCTGAGAGAAGCTATGGAGGAATCCATCAGGAAAACGGAGCCTTACCGTATTGTCTACTGGAAACCTGTTCCTGATTCAACTTGCCCCTAATGCCACAACCCTATGTAAAGCCAGCACCAAACTCAACCAGGCCTGTATGTGCACTGTTGTTGCCAATCATTCGGAGGAAGTGAGCCATGCTTACCACGCGCGACAGCTCTGGGCAAGCATCCCGGAGGCAGTCGATTTTCTCCTGCCAGTTTCGCCTTATTTGGCAGCCTCCTAGTTAAACCTACATGATCAGGGGTGCATACTGCCTCCCACAAAGGGTCCCTGCATGCTAAGCATCTTGGTCTGTGCATGAGTATCTAAAGTTTCTCTGCTATGACATACGCGGAATCAAGAAGGGAACGGTATAGCAATTCTTTCCAGCCCATCTCCTTGAGCGTGGCTTCTGGAGGAAGAGGCTTCTCCCGTAGCCGGAGATCGTTCCTGAAGTGCTCGCTGAATCGCCAAGCAGCTGATCATACACTCCAAAAGGCATCCAGGGGACTAGCCTTCAAAGCTGCAATCCCCAAATCCCTGCCCAAATCCCTCCACAGGACGGCTCTTACACACGCTGATTTCAAGAACCAAGGTTCAAATCCTCTTAAGAAACGACGTGTTAAGAGCTGCAAAAGGAGTCTCTGCAAACAAAGTTCCCAAATACACTACAGACACTCGCATTCTGGGCCTCAGTCTGCAATCCTATATCACGCGCCACGCTGAAAGAGAGTTTCCTAAACCTGGCATTCCAGGGCCGTAGGCTGAAAACCAACCAGAATCCATACTCCCGTTAAGTAGATAGAATAAGATCCCCATATACTCCACACTGTTTTTTGACACTCAACCCGCGTAGTTGGACACTATTTCCTGCCCAGTAGCTTGAATTTTTTCTGGACCCAGGTCTCGAGGCCGGCACGCGCCGTGACCATGAGCTGCCTGCCCAAGGCAAGAATCTCAGCATGCTATGAACCAAGCAAAGTGAAGAAAGAGGCTACATGAGCTATAGTCAAAACTCCTAGTATCCCCCTAAATGACCTCTGTAGTGCTCCCCTATATAGTCCCCTATATAACCTCCATGTAAGGAGTTTAGCCTATAGCTCATAAGTGGATGTATCATGATCTTTGGAGGTTCCATAGAGATAGAATATTAGGGTATCAAAGATTAGGGTGGACTTGTGAGATTCGTATGCGCATCGTTTGTGTTGGCGTCAGGCGTTTCTGCGGTTGAATCTCAAGATTGGGGTGCTCCTGTTGGGGATGATTTACATGCAGAACTGTTGGGAAGTATCCGCCACGTTTTCTGACCGAGTGTAGGGGTGATATTACCATGGTGACTGCAGTTGCCACTCTTGCCGAGGTTCGCGCCTTTTTGCGGTATTGCTCTGGGAGACACACTGTCAGCATTTATACATCATCTAATTTGGTGGCTTGAAGAGCTCAAGGGGTTTGCGTGGAGAGTGTGGGTCAGGGACTTGGCAGCCAAGGCTTCCTTCTTACAAATACCGCTGTTCGAGATTACGCGCATTCTAGCTTGATACTGAGTCGCCTTGCGACCTTGCGTGTGCCACCGCGTAGAGACCTTTACCCGGTAGACTTAGCTCCAGCAAGGGTGGTCACAAAGAAGTTCTGGACTTGCACGGGCAAGGCGCTTGGGAGGGGCAGCAGTCGCTGCTGCTCAGGATTTGGGGATGGGGCTCGAACGAAAAACAAGTAATACCAAATCTGCAGATACCACTGTCCAGGCGTGACTTGGCGGCATGTGTTGATGTATTTCCATGCTCCTCGGGGACCTTCGGATTCGGTTTTGGATTCGAGCTGCGGATGGCAGAGCCATGCAGAGGCAATGGGTCATGGGCTCATGAAGCGGCCTTGCTGCATGTTGCAAAGGCAGCTAGCGCGCTGGGAACCTAACATGCGGGAGGGGCACAAAGCGAAGGCTGGTACCATGCAATGAAGGGAATCACCAGAATGAACTATGAACCATCAGAGACCTGGCCTCTGAGCTCCCTTGACCAAACACAGCGGGCAGAAACAAAAACAGTAGGCAAGGAATACGGCGAAGCGTCAGAAAATCCACTACTCAGCGACGAAGCAACTATCAGGATTCTTACAAATATCAAGCGCACCAGCTACATTGGGCCACGTCAATGTGCAGTGCCTGTCGCGCTCGTCGCCGATCTTGGGAAGACCCACTTGGGTGCGGAGTTCATCCACCACCTGCCAGGCATTCGAGGGCTGGAGCTTAACGAGGACGCTTAGAAGTCAGTTGTGTGCGGGACTTGGGCTTCAGGTCGAAATGGTTGCCTTGCCAAGCCCACCCAGGGCAGTCTCTTTCAAAACCGCTGCGTCCATCTGGGAGAGGCGAATCCAAAGCTGCTGTGCACATGCTTTAAAGTTCCCCCCGTTACCATCAGACAAGTGGCCTTGCTGAAAGACACAAGCAAGTCCAAACACAGGTGACTATTTCTAAGATCAGATCCCTCGTGCCCATCGAACTGTTCCATTTGAGGCCCGTGAAGCGGCCGCGATGCTTGAACAACTCCGTGATACAAGACGGAATGAAATTGTGTAACCTACACTAAGGCACTATTCCAGTAAGTCGAGCCCCAGGGTCAACCATCCCCAGAAGGAATAAGTCTAAAGTCGCTTCTGATTCGGAGTCCTTTCTGTCCAAATGACAGCACGCGAAGGCTCTCCCATCCCTTGACTGTGCTAAAACTCTCAACATCAAACAAGAAGGCTATGCCCGTGTGCGGGGAGAAAGGTCAGAATTCCTGCGACATCCTAGAGCAAATTCCTAGCAAAACCTGATTTGTGCGTGCAGATTAAGAAAGATGCTCCGAAAACCGCCCCACTGAGCCCACATGTCCGCTAGCAAGCGCTATATACTAGCATCCGTATCGCGAGTAGTTATGCAGCACTTCCTTTTTGAACGCCTCCAGGTAATTACCAACGTTATTCTGGTTGCCTGGCCAACGCCAGAATCTGTTACCCTAAGGGCAAGCACCACCTGTGTCAGGGCCGGCCCAGCGACCGTCACACCGCCTCAGGATGCCATGCAGGCTTCAAATGACCCTGGAAATCTGCAGTAGCTCCTCCTAGCCCTAGTAGACACTAAACCATAAATCCTATAGCAGACCGTCAGAGATCCTTTCAAGCCATCGTGCTCTCTACCGTTTGCCAGAGTTTTAACATCATGCCGCGAACTCAGCATTTTATGGTTTAGGGTGTAGGGAAGATCCCCATGATCAGCCCCAAATTGGTATGTACGAACACGGCACACTTCATCCGCACTATGAGATATGGATCCTTTTTGCAACCACTCCAAAAACATAGCTCTGGAACATACTCACAGGAGTACAAGCCGCCTTTCTCGCTCTCCTCCTCAAGCACGGCAGCCTGCCAGGTTCGTGATTCACCCCAACCTAAACTCCCTGACTAAGGGGGAACGGGGGGCGGTAGTCGTCATAGTAGCAGCAGCAGCAGCAGC